CAATACCTGTCCGCACCGTCCTCCAAAATTAGAGAACATGTAAGCAGCTGACGAAAAACGATAAACAACAAAGACCTCTTGCTCAACAAATATGCAGAAAGAAATAGAGATGGATCGCGCGCACACCCACACACACGCACACACAGGTACGCCGTGGAGACCGTCGAGTGTAGCTCCAATGGAAGGTGTCCAGAAGGTGACATGGAGAAAATGAAAGTCTGTAGACAATCGAATGAGAATCCAGTAGCGCTGAGATATGTGTTGCTGCTCACTCGTAAACCAAAGAATGACCAACAACCACCACCACCACCATTTATATCATATTAGAATAACACAGAATCTCAGTTTCTCGTCTAATTTTTTTCTCTACTCTGTCTTATTATCTCATCGGCACTTCTTTTCTTCTTGATTTCATGTGTAAACAATAGAAAAAATACTAAACCGCCAACAATTAACATATATGTGTGCATGTTTATGTAATAATCTGAAAAAACCTCATCTAATTCTTTTTCTTTGATGTTTATTTACTACTCTTATTATCATGGTTACTATTATTATCACTACTATTGTTGTTGTTGTCGTTACTAAAAGTTATAGATATATGTTCTATTTGAGAAATGTGATAAACAAGGTGTTCCCGTCAATGGTTAGACACGCAACGTGTAGACGCGACAATGACGACGACGTTAAACAAAAATGTACGCAATGAGAATACAACTACAATATCCCCTGCCAAACTTTTTTTTCGGATCAATCAATGGCTGGCTGGCTGGCTAGCTAGCTAGCTGGCTGACTGCCTGCCTGCTTGCCTAGCTGGCTAGACAAATAATCTGATTAACGATTTATTATTTTTTTTTTTTCGAAATACTTAGTTTACATATAAATAAATGTGAGTGTGTACGTGTGGGTGCGTGTGTAGTGATAAGAATCACTTAGGAAGGGGGCAGTGTGTGTATATGATATGATACACAGACAGATATACTTGAAAGAAAAGTGGTGGGTCAAAAGCTTGTAAAAACTATTAGCATTGCATAATAATATACATAATATCAGAGATCGAAGTATGCAGATAAGGTTCGAGTGAAGATATATGCATGTATATATATATATACGAAAGATATAGTGAAAAAGTGGTAAGGATTAATCGGTTTTTATGACAAAATCAAATTGACACAAAGATGAATCAGACGCTTTATAAAGTGTCATATTTTGAAGTACCGAGCCTTGAGCATTAGACAGGCGGGGAAAATTAACAGGAGAAAAATAACAAAAAAATCTGAAGATGTATCCAAGATTTAGCATATATCTTTTATCATTGTAATATATATATGCTTTAGTTCGCATGATTGATCACGAACTGACGTCAGTTACAGAACCATTGAAAAACCAGGGAATACCGAACAGCTGTCTCATGATAATTTGATACTCTTTAGTATTTCACGTAGCCGCTGGGGGTTCAAACCCAGAACCTCCCCCCCCAGTTACACGGCTCGTAGACCATTCAGAAACACCAACCCGATTCAATGGCCTATGAATTCCAATTCCTGCTGATTCGCGATACATATGTAGCACAGCCGCCAGCCGATGTCCCCTTATCTGACTATGGTCCCGGCTGGTAACGACTTCTTACTATGTAACTTCCTGTATAGAGTCAGTTGCTAGAGTGCATTAGATTAGCTACCAAATGTAGATGGATGCGTACTGATGAAGAGTCCCAAATTAGGACGAAACAGTTGTCCAGTATTCCCTGGTTTTCTGATGGTTCTCTAACTGATGCCAGTTCATGATCAAACTTGTAATAATATTAGTTAGTTAGAACTCAGATATGTTGGGGTTGTGAACTATGCACGCTTAGTATGTAAGGGATGATGATAATATTACTAGTCGGCAGTTGCCTAGGCTGAAGTAGGTGGGGTGAGATTCGATCCCCGGACCCACCCGGTGATTGAACTTCGAGTGTTTGAAGCAATGAGTCATACATCTGCATAAATTTAGTAGATTAATATTATTGATTAATGTAACTTTCTTCCACCAGTGCACAATGAACAGGGGAGGTTGAGTTACAAAAACACATGACTCGATCACTTCACTTAATACTGGTAATGACACGCTTATATTCCAACAGTTCTTATCGCCTATTTCATCATTCCTTGCATATCTCTCTCTGTTGCATCTTCACTCAAATTTTGATTATCTGTATCCTTTGCTCTTCAATATACATTATGCAGTGCTTATGTGCGTCGGTGGTATAGCGGTTGGGACGCTCGCCGACCATGCACATGGTCTGGGGTTCGATCCCCGACCACAGACGCACTCCTTTACCTCGCTAAGCCAGAAATAATGCTGGTGAAGAGGAAAGGCTGGGCATGAGGCTAGCAACCCCATCCTGTAAAATAAACACTGCTACAGAAACTTCAAGCCACTAGCTTGAAGCCCTATGTTCCACTGGGGAACGTGAAGGAAAAAAAATGCAGTGCTTATACTTTGATAAGCTTCGACCTATGTTTACTTACATGGCCATCGCAGTTATCTCTATATCATCATCATCACACACATCCACTGTAAGTCACCACTATTACCTCTACTATTATCACTTTGACATATGGATGTGTTTTATTGGTTTAATCATCGCTTAACTATCCCAGACAGTGGGCTTTGGATTCGAGTCCCACCGTAATATATTTCGGACTGGGTGAATGGGTAGCATCGTCAAACACATACACACACACAGATAGCTGAATGTGTGTGTGCGTCGGTGGTTCAGTGGTAGAATACTCACCAACCAACACGTCTAACGTGGTCCAGGGTTCGATTCCCAGCCGCTGACGCACTCCTAAAATCTCTCCGAGCCGGTAATAAATCCAACAAAAAGAGAGAGAGAAGGTTGGGCGTGAAGCTAGCAACCCCACGCGCCTTAAAAACAACATCGCCAAGCTAGTAAGTCTTCTAAGCACAAGCTTGAAGCCGTATATTTTCGCTAAGGAATGAAGATGCACACATATAGCTGAATGTGGAACATGGAAAATCTGTTCTTCATACAACTGATTTCTAGCTCACTATGTGTGTGTACATGAGTTAGTTGTACAGAACACGTTTTCAGCTTAGAATACAAAAAAAAAACTAGACGTTGTTTTTGTATTCTTATTTTTATACAAAAACTGTGATAGTCAAAATATATATACGTATATTTTGATAATAAACACTACCTAGTACTACTTTAGCCACTACATAATATGCAAGTGTATCCACATCACAGCTTGATGACGCAAAATGATGTGAAAATGTTTTCGAATGTAAGTTAGTTTAAATTAACGACTAGATAACTACTAACTATATATGCACTATAACCCTACTACTACTACTAGTAGCCACTGTCGATATACTGACACTGTGCAGCAGCAATATCAGGTTGATCTAGGGGTGTTTATGTCAGCATTTGTATTATTACTCTTTCTCTCTCTAGAAGGTTGAACTTATAAATGTGAAAACAACTTCCGACAAGCTTAACACTTTGACTGGAAACTTCTCGTGTGCTTATGGTAATTGCCAGTGTCTAACAATTTTGCAGTTAACGACTTTTTCTAGTCAAACTTCAGAACAACAAGCCATAGATGGTTGATATGTTGCCTTTACGTTCCCAGTGGAATATAGGGCGCCTTCAAACTGGAGACTTGAAGTTTCTGTAGCAGTGGTATTTATGTTTACAGGATGAGATTGCTGGCCTCACGTCTCCAACCTTCCCTCTTTACCAGTCTTAGTACTTACTGGCTTAGCGAGGTAGAGGAGTGCGTCAGTGGCAGGAGATCGAACCCCAGACCACTTGCACAGTCGGCGAGCATTCTACGGTTGTGCCACCGATGCACCGCTGTAGATGGTACAGACTGTCAATCAAATATCACTGTTCTGTTTGGTGTAATACCTATAATCTCCAATGGCGTAATGGTATGGGATCATATATATCGTTAACAGGAAAAACGCGAATAGTTGATGGAGAGGTACGGTGAAAACTCTACAGACGTGACGTAACTGGTGTGCAACATAGAGAGGACCATTGTATCTACCATAATGGTAGGCTACCTCACCATACTTAACCAATATAGCATATCCTGTACATATATTAGATAGTTGGAGGCGATCGGCAGGACGCCGTGATGGCGAGCCACCTAGTAACATGGTGGCCACATTGGAAACTTGACTGATGGAATTCAGTCTACACCAAAAGAAGGGACTAGACACATTACACTAGTTACTGACTAGTGTTCAATCAAAAACATGTCCCCGGGCAAATATAAACTGGAAAGAAAATAAACAAGGCATTTCTGAGTTCTACCGTATGTTGAGCTATTCATGCGTAGATAACTAATTTCTTTTACAGCTTATATAAAATAGGGTAGCAGCAAATCGTAAACAACATGAGTTAAAATATTGTCAACATACATAGACACTAATGATAGCAGTTTTCCCCATAAACAATAGCTAGTTGTTATATTGATTGGTCACTAGAGGGTAGTAGCCACTGTCATGCATTTAAATCATTGGTTTTGATGCAGACTGAATTCTACCAATCAGATTTGTAATATGATCAGCCAGTTAGGTGACTTGTTACTGAGGTGCATTTCACATGCTTAGATGGTTGAAGGAAGATTGCAGGAAGCCCTGGACCGACATCAAGAACTAGACGCATGGCATTGGTTTCTCCGCAGGGAGTAATAATCATGCATCCATTACAGTGTTACAGGATGTTAAAATTGTAAGCCAGAATAGCTCAGTGGCAATGTTTCTGACTTCAGTGCTAGGTGACGCGGGTTCGGGTCTCAGAGGGAACCTCAGTCCCCTCTCCCAAGGGTGTAGATATTATGCTTTGCTGATGAGTGGCAACAAGCACAAGTCTAAAACTTTCGCTACGCAAAAACGGGAGTAACTCTTAACTTGATCAACACTTGCAATGACAGATAAAAAAGCAGATGTAGTGTGAAAAAAAAGTGAAATGTTAACACAATTCAGTACTTACCGACAACGATACGAGCCAAATTGTCTGCCCAACGGAACATTTCATCCATACCAGATAGAGCCAGTGCATACACGGATGATCCACCAATGAGAACTATTATATTCGACTCTTTATCCATGTGATAGCCACTTTCAAACCCGGTAATTTCATCAACCGGTGCTGGACCACCGACACTTGAAGCTAAATTAGATGCTGTTGCAAGTCCTGAAGAAGTGCTCTCTAAGGCAGCAACACAAGAATAAGCTGCTGTGTTGACTAATGGTCCACTACTAGAAGTTAGACTATAATTGGTTGATGTATTCTGTTGAAGTAGTGTTGATGAAGACATATAAGTTTGATCAGATGGTCTTTGAACAACAGCTGATTCACCGAGTAAACTGCGTGACTCTGGTGAGATTGGTAGTTCATGTGGTTTACGTACAATAGGTAGCATAGCTGTAAGCACTGAGCCGGAATTACGATAGGCTGCAAAGTCATCATAACTCTTTGTGATGTATAGATGCAGAGCATCTGAAAATAAAATTTAAAATTTTCGATTTCAATATGCATTGCAAGTTGTGTTTGTAACCAAAAATGCAAACAAACAAACTACACGTATATTCTGACTAGTCACTAAAAAACAGAGTATTATTTCCATACATTGACTCCCCTTTATGAATTTGAGTCGAACAAGAATAGCAAGAGTGTACAGAAAATTGTGGCACCATCATTGCTTAATTCGTCGGCTTCTCATCATCTGCTTACAGCCTAACTAAATTACTAAGTTTACATACATAAAATTTTTAACATACTTGTAAATTTTACATGATGTCAGTTGACAGGAGAATCTGAATTTAGTGAACAGTGCCCAGAAAATCACTCTTACATAGTTTTTACACACAGGGAGTTCAAGTTTACAGAGTGACTAATAAATTAGGTAACAATGTACTCAGTTTAACTCAAATCATAGAAACAAGAAACAATCAAAATTATACCATATCAAAGGGGGGGATGAGGATAGAGCCAAAGATTATGTAGTCTAATGAAAGGGAGAATAAAGACATTCAGGTACCAGGACAATGGAAGATTGAAAACTGCTTCTTTCTGAACAAATAAATCAGATTCTAAAAGTTTGATGTTAACTGCGCTTCAGTAAACTTGAGGAGAATTGAGCTGTTTGTTTTTTTCTTTCGATAATTTTAAGGGATTTCGTGATGTCCACCTGGCAATCCGTATTGATGAGATACCTGGCAATGGCATTATTGTAAGTATTTATTCCCTGGAGAAGTAGGCTTTTTGGTACATGTTCAGAAAATCAGAGGTGTTCCCTTCTTTCTGTTCTCCCAGTGTAACTGCTCCCGCAGAAACATGCAAATTTGTATACACACAGCTAGAGTTAACATGAAAAGGGTATCTGTCGACGTTTGACTGCACCAAATGTGAGCGTGTTGTCCAATATAAATGGGAACCAACTTAGCTGAAGGATAGGCTCTTGTTAGTGACATATATTCAATCTTCTATTGATTATTCCTGCAATTTTATCACCTTTAAAATCGAGTTGACAGGAGACAGGCATTTTTCCAACTGTGATTAGTCTTACATTAGAGCCTTCATATCTTTCATACTTGTAAATGGATTTCTTTTGGAGAATTAGAAATTCTTCCTCTAATCTTTCTGTAGAGAATAGTCTTCTGGCTCTATAAAACAGAGTTTCGGCCAGTGCTCGTTCATTATTTTTTTGTATTGAAAAGGTATTTAGTTTCTTTACTCAAGAAATCTGATCTGGTCTTTATACTGATTTGTTCAATCGAAGTGTCACCTACTAGTTAAACTCACAGTTAGGTGTAAAACAACATGTGATAATCACTATAAAACTTTTTTTGATTCTTTCACGTTCCCAGTGGAACATAGGGCACCTTCAAGCTAGAGGCTTGAATTTTCGGTAGCAGTGTTTATTTTTACAGGATGGGGATGCTGGCCTCATGCCCAACCTTTCCTCCTTACCAACTTTATTACTGGCTTAGCGAGGTAAAGGCCTTGATTGGCACTGGAATGGGAAGTGATGAGTTGGGCGCCTGAGGATAACACGGAGGAAAGTGTGAAGAGAAAGTGAAGGCTTGTAGACGGCCCTGACGCCAACCAGGACAGAATACAATGAAGAAATGCTACTGAACCCCTCTCTCTCTCTCTCTCTCTCTCTCTCTATATATATATATATATATATATATATATATAGGCAACAGTGAAGAACAGATACCAAAGCCAAATGACCTTGGACCAGCCAATCATGTAATTCTGGTTCAAGAGTGGCATTTGTAATATAAAAAGTACGTTTACTGCATATTAAAAAATGATGAATTATATATGGTACGTTTCTAATATGCTGCATAAAGAGGTCTCAATTTTTCATAGGAGTGACTACAGTAACTAAACCAGAATCTGTATGAGTACCAGTTATCGATTCCCCTAATTCTCACCAATGATTGACTTTATAATAATCATAGCCTAATGATGATAGTTACATTGCTCAGCATTTCAAATGGATGTTGCCTGTAATCTTCGTTGCAAGTTTCACTCTCACCCCAACCCTACTACACCTTAATCCTACTCTAACTCTAACCCTTAAATCAGAGTGAAACTTTCAACGAAGGCTATGGAGAGCATTCGTTTGTAATGTTGAACAATTTGATTGGTTAGTTCAAGGTCATTTCACCATGGTATTTATCCTTTAATCTTGCCGAATAATAAACTACTACATCTCGAATACCCACATACATTCAAAACAAGCATCATTTGTTGGATTTATAAAAAAAAATAGAGAAACACAATTATCGTTTAAGATATGGCGTGGGAGAAATTCCTATGCAAAGCAAATACGCACATAAAAACGTCAAAAACAAGGGAAATCTCTTTTGAGTGAAATTTCACCTTATAAGGCTATAAGGCATAATTCAGCTTTTTTACAACATAATGATAAGGCATATAAAGAGACTAGACTGAAATTCACCTTAGAATAACCTTGTGACGCACGTGATATCCAGGCGAAGGTCACACAGAATGTCTGAATACAGACAAGGTCAATAAGCATTGGAAATTGCTTATTATGAGTCATTTCTAAGGTTAGAATTTAAGACAAAATTAGCCCACATATGTTAGTGTTTTTCGGGAAGAGAATTTCAGGTGGTAAAATAACCATAAAAATATACTTCATACTATTACTATTATTCCAAATGGTTTAACACACAAAAAAAAACGCAGTATGAACTAAATAAGCATCCTTAACAAAGGCGGGATGATAATAATATAGAGATTGGCTCTGATTTCCAGAGTTTAGTATTTTACTTCACGTAAAGAGGATGCATTTCGGTCCCATATACTACCGTCACAAAGGTTGACAGTTACGAAAGCTGTCTCTAACCTAAAATGAAACAAAGCAACAGAGCTTTGATAGCATAAGATCAGAAGTCTTTAAAGATAGCTGTAATGGATGACGAAATTGATTATTCTATCCAAAAGGACTTTAGGTACGGAGGGTATGTTGATTACCATTCCACCCAATCGGCAGTTTCTGGAATATAGGCATAATTACCGGCATCTAACACTCACTACACTTCCTGATCTCAAGATGCCATTCGACTACGTCGATCGTAAGGTACTGTGGCAACGTGGAGGAAGGTCAAAAAGATTAAATCGTACTAATCACGGCACTCTATTCATATTCATTCAGTTGTGCTAGAGTTTATGGAGAGTTATCGCCTACAGTGAAGACAATTAATGGTGTCTTTCGGAGATGCCAAATGTCATCAATTTTACTTATTTTCACTACAGATGTACCGGTGGAGTTGACCTCTGGTTGAATTTTATGTCTCTGAGATCAACCTTTTTTATTAAGAAATTCTCGCCAATATACAAGTATGATTGTGTAGTCCTCTATGTGGAGACCCTGAAAAAATTCAGCCGTCTGAACAAAAATGAATATAAAGCTTAGCTTGTTCGGCACAAGATTCGTGTCTGTCAAATGAAAGAAAATGGTAACAGGACTTATCTCACCATAGAGTCCCAGTTTAACGACAAACACTGAATTGGTTGATTGTGATGACCACTTCACTTATTTGTGAAGTTCTATAAGCTCTGATAAACTATTGCTAACGAAATCTCAGTGAGGGTACAGAACGTCCGTTTGACATTTGCCCACTACCCATCATCTTTGGTAAAATTTTAATGGCGTACGATCTATCATTGTGTACATCTGGTGTAGATTGGATGAACAAAGATACCGTGATGAACCTCGACCTACAACCTACCCGCGCTGCTTTTTAGCACTGTAGCTGGCTTGGACATGTGCTGTGTGTCATCCCAGAGGCTTCCGTACAGGTCTCTTCGCTAGCCAGCCCTGGAACTGGACGGAAGAAGCAGAGAGGTGGTCAGCCCATGAAATGGCGTGGTGGGATGAAAGGATATTTGTGTTAGGTTAGCATCGGTTGGTGAGTCACGACGCCCTGGTTGGAGTACAAAAGATAGCTCGAGTCGGTGGTTCAAAACGTTATCGGATATGGCTAAGAATCGCAATCATCGATGGCGAACGTGCTGCAGTTTCCTTCTTTCTTTTCTTTCCAACGATAATTGACGAATGCTATTTAAACTTATTATATATGAGTTTTCCTTCCAGATGAAGTACTTTATCCGTTCTCTACCTATATTTTTTTCACTTTTAATCTATGTTGTTTTATTATCATTAGTGGTGCCATATTGTACCAACTTTTTGGGTTTAAATAAATAAATTCTTTAAAAACTAGAGCGTAACATGAGCCCTGGCTGGAGAATGCAAGGAGGACATTAGTGACTAAATACAATAAGTTATTAAACAGATCATGGTAAACAGTAGGCTTTACAGATGCACAACAATATACTTGCTTAAATCGAAATGGTTTGCACAAAATATCTAAAGCCAGACACTAACAACGCCGCTTTGACTTTAGTCAGTGAACTATCCTTCTCCTATTTAAAGGTATGTAGATGAATTTGTGGTGTTCTTAGCCTTTCACAGGCCTCAGAAATCTACAACTCGTGTTTTAAAATTTGAAAATATGATCGGATATCTCGAGCATCGTACTACTACACAGATAACCTGTTTCAACTATTGACTGAACTGCATAACCTTTTCTGATCTTATGACACAAAACACCAATCAATTGCCTAAGCATGTCTTATCACTTGGCAAGAATAAATGGTTAATATATCTGCAATAGCAATTTTTATTCTGATAACTCCATACAACTACCTAAATAATTATCATTTTCCCGCTCGCTTCATATCCCATTCACAAGTTCAACAACTGTGTGGTTGTATGCTTCAAGTGAATGAGTATAATTGTAGACAAATGCTTCAAAGGAAGACGTTTTCGCTCAGCCGCCGAAAATACACCATCCCACAAAAGCACACTAGAAGGTACATTAATTGTATATAAGACTTCAACTGAACTGTATTTCCAGTGTAGAACTTCGCACTTAAGTGCAGCAGTTCAAGTTCTGAGTAGCACACATATAGGTAGGAAAAATAGAAAATGTAGAGAAACTGCACTACAATAAACGGAAGAGAGGATAACTAACTGGAGAATAATAGTGGGGATTAAACGAATCTAGTAGATCGCGAAGAGTAAATACATAGGATTAAATTTTGATGCATACCACCAATAAATTCCAACAATTGATTCTAAGCATTCTGAAAAACGCAGTCAGGCAGTTTACACTTGCCTACATGAACCATACTGACAGCCAAAAATTTCATAGATGTTATACACATATATCAGCTGACATTGCCCTTAAAGGGAAAATGTGGCTCAGAATGTGTAACACGTGTACTGGCCGTTTCGCAACTTCATCGAATGCCTTGTCCTTCATAACTTTCCACCCTTAACTATATTACTAACTTTAAGGCACCACCATGCGTAAGAAACTGAAAGAAAATACCAATAGTAAATCCTGATGTTATTTTATTTTGATTATAGCTTGATTCCACACAGCATTTTTGGTACAAGTATGGAATTTTCAGCATGTGATATCGGTAGCTAAAATTTTGTAGGCCAACCATTGATATCAGGTGTGCGTAAGCAGGGGATCGAACCCCAGACAATGTACATGGTCGGCGAGAGTCCTAACCACTGTGCCACCGACTCACGGTGTACAGAAATATACGGCGGTCTGCTGCACAGTACACATGTTTTATTGATATCATACTTGTGTCAAAAATGATGTGAGTTAGGAAACACTAAACTATCCTTTTATACTCATGCTGAGATTCTGCTAGCTATGAGTTTATCAGGGCTGATAGAACTTGGAGGATAGGCAACTAACCAATACGCTTAACCACTTCACTTCGCGTTTCCAAAATGAGACAAGTCCTACTATATCATCTTTTATTTGATAGATACGAATCGCATACCACACATCCTAACATTTTTAATAAAGGTGTTCTTCACTTTTCCTGTGTCTTCATTGAGGACTGTACTTGGCTTTCACAAGTCTGCTTATGCCAAGAACCTCTCAGTTCTCCCAAGAATATAGAATCTTTGATTTTGTTAAGCCAACTGACCTACTTGCAATTATCACAGGAAGACTAGTCCGTTTTTATAAACTGTGGTCGATGGTACTATCACAGATCCTCATACATTACCAGATATCTTATTTAATCTAGGCGGTAATTTGTCACTACCATTCTTAAACATCTCTGGAGTTATAACATATTCTTCTTTGCCTCATTTTAGATTACAGGCAGCTGCTCAAACCTTTCGTCGATCAAGGCGGGGGCGATGTCTAAATGGCATTCAGCTGGTGTGCAACTTTAGTGTAGGTGTGAGATAGTTGAACTGCTTTTCACAATGTTTCCTATTAAGTTCCAGTCATTCCCTACCTGAGAAGTGATTGGAGCACAGTAAATCATATCTCTTATCGCAGAATTTCTAGAATTAATTTTTCTTGTCTTTAAACTGTTTTCTAGTGTTGCCTACTACTGATATCCTTCTTATCTTTTTTGCTTTTGTCACCTACCACTGTTTATAGTCACTAAAAACAACTTTAATCAATTTGTGTTTGAGCATCTTTCGCCAACTACCATATTCACAGCCTGAGAGCATTAGTTCCTTTGCAGTTACCAGTTAAAATAGAATTACAAAAATCCACTAGCACTAACGTACCATTGGTTGCACAACATAATTGTTTAGGTGGTCATGTTGCTAACAGTAGGAAAATAGATAAAAGATAGCAGAAGGTAAAAGAGAAGTGGAATAAATGAAAGGACAGAGAAAAAATAACACGAAACTTAAAGGGAATTAGATTATAAGTAGTTTACTCATCGGGATAGAAACTTTAGCTCATGTTGTAGGGTAAAAGTCTGTCGAAAATCTACGTCAGTGAGTATTATTAAAACCAGGGGGTGTTAGGAAGATATTGGAACCTAGCTTCGAGCTATCCAGTGGTATTCAGTCGTAAGTACATTACAGATTGAACCAAGGACCATTAGTTTTTGAGGTGATCACATAGCTTTCCAGTTATTCGGTTAGAATCAAACGGTGCATGAACTCTGACTTCAAGTCAATTGGTCGATATAGTCCTGAATATCGGTCTAACCGGCATGCACTCACGAACCCCTTTTTAGAATTTTAAGAATCTCACCTAGAAACCAGTCAATAATGAAGAAACGATTAACAGTTAGATAATTTTTGTCGGGTTTCGAATTATCTAATGGTGGGTTCAGTAGTACCATACTTTTCTTATGAAAATTGTCACACTTATTTCTGAAGTATTTTTTAACTTTCCCTAGTAACTTAAATATGAACCCTGGACAATGGCGTACTTACTTTTGAAGTGAGAACACACAAGATCGAATGGAAGAAAGTTGGGTAAAACAAGAAATATTTAAACTATCGTCAGACAATTGATGTGTAGGTGAGATTGTTTTACGCAAGACATTTCCGGATTGTCTTACTTCAGTTTTCTGCGGAATTTTTTCCAAGCTAATATCCTTTGGGAATGACTGATTTCAAATACGAAAGTTGACACAGACATTAAATTCATGTGTCCACCATTTAATGATATCGGTAATACCAACCACCACATATAGAGTCAACAGCCTTTGTATGAGCATAAGGAGGTTGCTCAGTCACATCTTATATACTTCGGGCGAACGGAATTACAACGAAATCGAATGATTCCCGAAGTGAATGCAACAAATCAGATGGCTGAGCTCGCAATTTTATCCTGACTTTTATTATGGTGGCGATGCTGGGCTTGTAGGAAGAACGAAATCATGTGGAGGCAAAATGGAAGTTTAGAATCATTTAGTAGCGACTAATGAACATATATATATTTCAATGCACCAATTGTCACTAGAAAATCCGTAAGGAACAGTATGTTGTTCATGTCGACTTTC